TAATTAATTAATTAAACAATTAGCAAGGCTTTTTCTTTCTTTTGCAGAAATATTTCTACCATAGACGACCAGATGCACTGAAAATGAATGTCGGTGATTTAACTGAACGTTTGGAATTGAAAAAAAAATTGGGATGTAAACCGTTCAAATGGTTTATTGAAGAGATTGATCCATCGTTGAAACCAAAAGAACGACTGGAAGATGAACTCTGAAAAGCTATATTTGAAATCATTTTCAGTTGTTCTTCTATGTTGCTTCTTGCTGATAGATTATATGTTATGAAAAGTTGACTGTGTGAAAACAGTTCTGGCAAAAAAAGAGAAAACATTAATAATAATAAAAGGTATCAATGAAATATTTGTTTACTAATTCTTTTTAACAGCTAATAAACTGACAACTGTTTTTAACAGTTAATTTAGTCTACTGTTCTTTTTTTTTTCTTTTGTTTTTTGTTCTTTTTTCTTCTTTTCTTTGTTATTATCTGTAATAATTGTTGGAGCTATTTTTAGCTTCAACAAAATCAAGATAAAAGTTTGCAGTATCCATAGTTCATTACTAGTATCGCTAACAGCAAACTAAAAGATGATGCCTTTTGGGAAAGTACTCTTGACTGTTTTGCTTAAGACCAAAATGCAGAGGCGCTAAGCAGATGGAAGGTGCAGAAATCGTGGTGGTAGGATATCGGATTAACAATGATGGATACTCACTTTAAAGTTGGTGACTTTAAGGATACTGTTAGAAATGGTATCTTCAACACTGTTTTTCCTTTAAATTTTCTCCACTGATCCTTATAAGTTGTCGAAAAAAATGGAATAAACTTTGTTAAGTAAACAGTAAACAGATTTAGAATCAGAAGAAAAAAATAAACAATTATTTTTGGAAAAAAAAATTTTTTTTCATTACCAAAAAATTACTGGACAATGCTGAGGTTTAATATGTGAAAGTTGTTTCGATGTCTACGATACGAATTATTCTTATGACAGAATTCAATGGAAAACCAAACCTATGGGTTTCATTAGCAGAGTAAACAAATTTTTAGACTTGTTATCATTCATATCGCAAAGAAGTGATTCAGTTACATTCTTTTCAAACAGTTGTCAATGCGGTTTTATAGCAGAAGAAAAAAAAACATGAAAATAAATAACACTGTCTAATTTCTTTTTGACTACCTAATACGGAAGAATAGAAAAATAACTGAAGCTGTTCTTTTCAAAAGTAAAAAAAAAAGTAAAAAAGCAAAAAAGTTGTTAAATATCGATGCTTTTTTTCTTTCAAAATTTCAATTATATTTTACGCGTTATTTTCGAAAAAAAAAAATTTTTTTTTTTTTTTTTTCTTGAAATCCGCATATTAAGTTCGTTTGATTCGCAAAAACGATTATCAGCAAAAGGCATCTATCTAAAAAATTTATTCTGCGGTAATCGTATAGCAGCCGAAATCGACAAAAAGAGGAATAAGTGAGACCGAAAAAAAAAAAAAAAA